ATAATGCTTTGAGGAAAAAAAAGTAGGTGGAGTTTTTTTTCCCTAATGTGTCTGGTAGAGTAAAAAGAGGATTATGGGTGGGGAAAAAACAGTGCATGTGTGGAGAAAAATGCAGCCAGTGCAAGACGACACAAACACACATTCACACAACCACACAATCAATAGCAGTTTCTGCAAAAAGTGCAGGAGTGTGGATCTGAAATGTGATTTGAGTTTGATACACTAAATCACACTAGGATGCATGATATATTGGTGGTACCTTTTAAGTTATCCACTGATACTGGGATTTTTAAATGTATGTGTCAGTATTGGAAATTTAATTTTGCATGCTTATTATTTTTGCATTTAGATTACCTTTGGTGTCATCTAACAGTCATTCACACAATAAAACTGTTAATCTTATGCAAAACCCAAACTAAAAATCCATATTACTACTGAAAGTTAAGTTGTTAATTCACTTGTAGCTTTTGAAATGGTTTATTTTTGTTATTATTTAAACAAAATAGTATAAAATTGTAATAGTCGATTTCAGTTATCAGCCATTACATGCAAATAATTATCGCTGCATTGTTATCAAGCAGAATTTTAATATCTCTGTATCAATAAATCACACTGCTTGTCATGTTCAAAATGCATATTTTGCTGGTAATCTATAGAATTTTTTTAATAGTTGTAAAAGTAATAGTTTTAATAGTTTTTAATGGCCAGTACCAATATCTAGAGAGCAAGGTAACCAAAATGACTGTAATATAATATTGATATGCAGATATATATAATACAGCATATTTTCAAACTTGTTTGACTTTCTTTCTTCAGTGAAACATAAATTTTTAAACAAAATTTTTTTTTTGTCGATGGTAACCAAAATGTTTTGATTACCAACATTCTTCAGAATATCATCTTTTATGTTCCACAGAAGAAAGTAAGTCATACATGTTTGAAATTATATGAAGATTATTAAACGATTGGCAGACTTTTCATTTTTGAGTGAACTATCTCTTTTTAAATATTAAATATTAAAAACGTGAACAAAGATGTCGGCTGATTTTGAAATTTAAACAAAGATAATGCTGTTAGCCTATAGCCTAATTGATCTAATCAATCACCTATATCTGTATATTATTAGGATATTCTCTTACTCTACCTGTTTACCCTTCCTTTGATCTCTAAAAACTGAAAGTCTTCCTAGGTCTTGAGCAGTAGTGAAATAATGTGCCTATGTGTGTGTGTGTGAGAGAGAGAGAGACCACCATGGTAGACCACCTGTTTGTGTACTTGTGGACCACCTCTCCCTGTAATGGGGTCCTGGTAGGCAGCAGCTCTGGGGCCCGTTAGTGACTTCAGGCCCTAAGGAGCCCGGGCAATTCTATGTGTGATTTACGGAGTGTGTGTGCGGATTGATCCATGTGTGTGTGACTATATGCAGCTCTTCTTGTTTCTCTTCTTCTGGGGCTTTTCCCCTGCACAGGTCATATGCACACATACAAAACTCATTTTTCTTGGCACAGGAACAGTGTGGTGCCTAATGCATCTTTTGTGTGTGTGTGTGTTTGGCAGAAAGGTGTGGGGTCTTTCTTGCAGTAGTTAAATCAATGCTAATGAAACACTTAAGCTGAGGTGCAGGCCGAGCTGAAAGCTTTAAACACTAAACCGACGCGGAAAGACACGCCTACATCCTACCTGCCCTTCAGGAAGCCCAGCGTTCAAATGGCAACTGAAACCAACCCCATAGTGGTCCTTATTAGTCTCGCATAGCCAGACCTTCTGACTGACGGCTGAAGGTCTGGAATTCATGGCAGCTTTCATTGGCCAAGGCCTGCCCATGAGGCCTTTTAACCGACATGTCAAACAACCAATCACAGTTCGTTTCGTTCAGCGTCACGTTTCGGGGCGTGGAAATGTCGCCACAATAACAGACAGGTGCGTAAAACTCTCGGATGTATTTTAAAGATTCTATGCCGCGAACTTGAAATATTTCACATACTTTTGAGAATCCAGCGTTTATTTGATCCTGATAAGCGCTCGTCGTCACAGTTGTAAACACGACGGCTTTCTCCTTTCGTGAGGGGGTTTGGCGCCACGGCATCTTTGTTTCCTGGCGGAACGTTAAAGAACGTGACACACACGTCTCCCGGAAATCCTGTCTAATTCAACCAATCCGATGACGATTTCGAAACTCCTGAAGAGTTTCCACTTTTGTGTTCCTTATGCATCAGACGTTCAAGCCAACGGTCCGTGGGCGTGACCTCTGAGGCTGAGACTAGGTCCATATAACACCATTGTCTGTGAAAAATCAGTGCAATCTAATTCGTACATTTTCATACCTTTCTGCTTACTTTTTTCTAAAAATCGTATGTTTTTGAATGTTTCACACTGAACAAATTAATACGAAATTGCCAAATAAAGTTACGTTTTCCCAATGTCGTCACCCAATTCAGTCTCATGAGAAAACATACTTTTAAGATCTGCCGTTTTTGTATAAATTCATACAATATGATTTGTACGGTTAAAAAAAAAAAAAGTTAAGCATAACGGTCAACCCCTAAACCTGTACGTCAGTGGGCGTGAACAGGAACTGCATGCTTGTGAACTGCATTTCGCTACATTCCAATATTTGGTGAACTGCAGATTTGTATCATGCATCAAGATGTGTGATCAACGAAAGACTGATTAGCCTTTTAGCTGAACTAAAAAAAAACGCAGACTTTAAATCTATGGGATTTCAACATTGTATTAAAGTGAAGTAGATTACATATTTTTACGTTATGGATGTCTTATTTGTAGAATTGCATGTTTTAAAAGGAAGCCGGAGAGCGTGACGTCATATTACATAATATGACATCATGTTGTCAAGTCCGTATTTTCCGTATTTTTTATTTTTTTTTGTAACAGTGCCACTGCTGTTATATAAAACTACGAATTGGTGGTTCACAAACAGACTATTTTTCTAAGCAACAAATAGCAGAAGAATATTCCGAACCCTGTGCTCTTGTATTTGGTGTTGTTTGATAAACATCATAGCAAATAAAAAAATAAATAAAAATCTGAATGCTGTTTGACTCAGTTTCTCCTTTTTGACAAGCGGGGGAAATACTGAGACAAATGTAAGGATAGTAATTAAAAAAAAAAATAGGGTATCTTGATGCACAAATAACATTATACCGCTTTCCATAAAGCTGTATTTCTGTTAAGCGCCACCTACTGTCAGAGACTGAAACTGCATGTTCATTCAGCCCCATCTACCGTTTTTTCCGCATTGGTCTGAACAGACAAATCGCATGTGAAATTCATTCGTGTTGGTGTGAACATAGTTGTGACTAGAAGGGATACAGCTACGGCTGGAAGTGAGGCAAAATCTCTCCATAAAATAACAATTTAATTTTGCTACCCATCACAATCTGTTTTATTAACATCTACACCTACCCCAACCCTAAACCTACCCCTTACAATAATGCAAATACAGTAATTGTTGTTCAGTGTGACAAAAAATTACACAATATTGATGTAGGCCCTACGCATGCCCAGTAAGCTCTGGTGGCTGTAGCTGTATCCCTTCTAGCCCTAACCTGTGATCAGGTCTTTACCCACCAATTTGGTAAAATGTAAAATAGTTAGGAATTGCCTGTTGGGCGTCGCCACGGTGTAACAACCAGGTGGCAGCTTCTGCATGCCTGTGTAATTACGAGGTGGCCGAGCCGGAGTGAGTGTGTGATGATGCCACGCTGGCCGGAATCACAGTTCTGACACGCGGGGTGCCGCGTGGTTTCGAAGAGCCGAGACAAATATGTTTCGGGTTAAACGGGGCAGAAAGAAATGTGTTTACTCACAGCAGAGGCATAAAAAGAGGCATTGAGATGCATCACAGGGGGGTGCACAGGGGAGGCTCATTAGATGAAACTGTGTTTTGGCAGTGCTTGTGTTAATGGTGTTGGAGAACGCCCGGAGAGACAGGCATCTGAAAACCATTACCCTGGCAGAGCTGCTGGTATGTGGGCACTGCCGACCACAGAAGGGACGTTACAGTTGCTGGGACGTTAAGCGGATTTTTGTGCTTTCAGGCAATGAGATGCAGTTTAGAAACATTTTAGCCAGTTTGTGTTCGAATAGATTCTATAATAACAGTAAGTGAACAAACTAACTCAACCTATAATGTTTATGTCTGCCATTTAGAAAAAAAGTGTATATATATATATATATATATATATATATACACACACACATTCGCCACTAGGTGGCAGCGTAGTCCACAGTGGTGCAGCTTCGTGACAGCATTGACCACATAGAAGCAGAAGCAGTTTTGACAGAACAGCCCCAAAACAGATATCTTTATTTTTGAAGTCGACTCGTTAATATGCACAACTGAAAATCAGACATAAAACCATCTTTGCCCTGACGTGCGGGCATTTGGATCCAGTTGGAGGGTGATCTGGGTGGCCCTGCCTAGAAAATGAGCACATCTGGGAGGAATGGCAGAGAGCTCGTTCAGTGTGGTGTGGTGTGACACTAACCAAATGGCTGTCTTAAGTTTTACCAAACAGCTATTGGATACGCTCTCCATAGCCCAGTCTGATCTCTCTCCCATGCAGAAGTGCTGATTTATTCTGCCACTAAGTAGAGTTTAATGAAAAAAACTTGATTAATGGAGTTAATTGCCATCTGCAAGTGATTGTGGACTTGTTGTGTGGCAGAATCTAGTATTGAGTTTGAAAGTCAATGACTTTAACAATAAAGTGATTAATTGCTTCACTCTGGCAATGACATAAGCTTCTACAAACTCACTGACTCTGATGCCACAAAATGACTCTCTGGGGTGACGCAGATTTAAACAGGTAAACAACACTGCTGTCACCCGAAGAGTTTTAGCTACATATTCTTTTTGTGAATGTTGTTTAGAGTTTATTGTTATACTACAGAAACCCTTAAAGCCTCAAAGTGCTCTTGGTTGTTCTTTTGTGGTGTCTTTGTCAGTCCAGTGAATTATTCATCTCTGTTTTGTTTAGATACAGATCCTCGTGTGTTGGAGAAACAGGAACTGCAGCAGCCCACATATGTCGCCCTCAGCTACATTAACAGGTACATGAGTCCTGAGATATTCAGATTTTATGATGTGATAAATTATGATTTTAAATTTTGTGGTATTATGTACAAATGTTTTTATTGATTGTATAGAGAGAGAGAGATCTAGGTCATCAATATGTGTGTGACTGTATTATGTATTGTTTATTTATTTTAAATAAAAATGTGTGTTTTCCACAGCATTTACTTAAAAATAAAAAAAATTGATAATAGGAATTTTACACTCCTGTTTACTGTTAAGCGGCGAAGCAGGTGTCCTTTTTGGCAGATGTCAAATTTAATTTCAGTTTGTTTAGTTTTGTTTGCTTTATTGTCCACGATGTAAATTGCGTTTGGCTCACCACCACAATGTATTAAAAACAAAATGCAAACATAAAGATAAAAACATAATAATATGGCATGGTAAACATTAAAGGGATAGTTCACCAGAAATGAAAAATTCTGTCATCATTTATTCACCCTCAAGTTGTTTCATACCTGTGAGTTTCTTTCTTATGCTATTTTGAAGAATGTGTGTAACCAATGTGCGTTTCTGGTCCCCGTTGACATCCATAATATTTTTTCCCCCCAATACTATGGAAGTCAATGGGGACCAGTGACTGTTTGGTTTTTCAATCTTGAAACTGTACAAAAGTAACCAAATGACAAAAATGAATCTGAGAGCAGTCCAGCATTTTCCTTAATGGGATTCTGTAGTTTTTGGAAAACAGCCGTGTGGTCAAGTCCTCCTCTGCATCCTCTTAGGGATCTGGTCAGTTTATGAAGCTGTAATGAACTTCAAACCAGCACCCAAGTCATCATATACACTCAATTTCACTCTGTTGAATGTGGTTTGTGTAGGAATACTCCAAACTTAGAGACAGAAAGCAGTTCCAGTGTTAAACAGCTTTAATAGGCAGATTGGTGGTGGAAATTGTTGCTTAACAAAGAGGAGACACTTTTGTCCATCTCTTATGTGGCTTCTGCTGGTAATCTGTTAATTCCACACCAGCTTTAATAATGTCTGTGTGAACATTTATGCTTTATTACATACATTTACTGACAGTTTTATAATGCAACAAAATAAGCTGGAGTGAATGCATTGTTGTAAGGTGGATTAGACCTCACTGAAGCTGCTGAATCATAACAGATAGACTTATGACAGATGGTTCATTTGTATTGCAGGAAGTAGTAGCAGTTTGGCACGGTATTTGAGAACTAAAAGCAAATTTTTACTTTATGGTTACAATGGTTCAATTTGGGACATCAATTGTACATGCACATCACTTTTGTTTGGAGAGAATTGGGGGATGTACTCACATAATTCTTGCATTCAGAAACAGATAGATGGAGTGCAACTGATAGAAAGGAACAAAACGCAGGTGTCTTGAGACATGTTTAATAAAGTTGAACCAGCTTTAACCTCCTATTTGATACATGTACACTACCATTCAAAAGTTTGGGATCTGTAGGATTTTTTTGATGTTGTTGAAAGAAGCCTCTGATGCCCAACAAGGCTGCATTTATTTGATCAAAAATACATCAAAAACATTCTGCTGTTGTACATGGTAATGTTGTGAAATATTATATTACATAATACGCCAATATGGTCTTATCATCAATGTTGATGCTGTTTAATTTTTGTGGAAACCATTAAACCTTTTTTAGGATTCTTTGTGAAATAGAACATTTAAAAAGCTGCATTAATTTGAGATGGAAATCTTAATAACACTATAAATGTCTTAAATACCCTACTGACTGCAAGTTTTTAAACAGAGGTGTACATTGATCAACACCAACAAAAAAAATCATTGCCCACCTTTCCACTCCTAATACTCAAGTTCTTGGCCGATTTATTTATTGAGAATAAAAAAAAAAAAAGGTAAATGAATGTATTAATATAATATATTAGTGTAGAAATATGATGATTAACCTGAGTTCTTCAAGTAGGTTGAAGAATTTAGCTTTTTTGCATTCTGTCAAAGTTTGATATATAGGCTTATGTGTAGGTTAAAGTAGTGCTGGACGATATACCGGTTCAAATGGTAAACCGGTTTGAATTATGCACGCTGTATGCATTTTTTGCAAACTGGTAGGAGGTAGAAGTGGCTAAGCAATGTAGACAGTGTCGTGAATTGAGAGTGGATGCAATGTTAATTGCATACACTTCTGACTTATGGTTGGAGAAATATTAATTACACACAACTAATTCTTTAACTGGGTAAATAAACTAACTGTAAGCGGCCATTAAAAGAGGCCAGAGATGCTGAAGAGGAATGCAAAGAGGAGAACATGTTGTAACAGGCAGAGCAAACTCACTACACCATGCGCAAAACATTGGAACAAAATTCTATTCTGAATTGGGGGTGGGGTTTTATAGAAATGTATCTCTGAGGGGAACTTTCTTTTCATCTTACCTCCATATAATGCATAGTAATGTGGTATTTAAAAGCACAGCACTGCTTTGTTTACAGCAGTAAGCAATGAAAACGCTGTATCGCTGCTGTTACATAAGCGACACCTGCTGTCAGATAGTGAATCTGCATTGTCATTCAGCCCGTCTGCTGTTTTTGTTTGGAGCTGGCATGTTTCATGTAGGATAATTTCACAAAGCTAAGGTCAGACCATTCTGTTTTGGCTGCAGATTTTGAAATTATACAATCTAATTAACATCAAAAACTGCTCATGCTACATGTAACATGTTTGATTGGATCGTGATTAAAATACAGGGTTTCATGCATTCTGATTCACAGGCACAGTCAGGGAAAAACCGTGATAAACCGTGAAACCATCAGAATCCTAAGAAACTTATTTTCCTAAAAGTATTTTCCATGGGTTTTGTAGAACCTGCTGTGTGTGTAATACATGTGCAAATGCACTTCATTTAGTTGCCACAGGCTTTTTCCTTTAACAGCCATGTATTCCTTTACCAGCTCATTTTCATTGCTACATTGTGCTCACTGAGACTGTATCTTATCAAGGTATTTTTCTTTCAGTTAGAGTGGACAGATAAAGGGCTGGCATTTTGTTTTGTCCCAGAAACATCAAGTAGCTTTTTGTAGTGAGTAAATTTAATCGACTGGAAAGTCTTTGTGTTCACAGTCTTTCTACATTTTTTGTTGTTGTATCCAATAATAACAAACAGCTAGAAAAGTCACAGAAATTAATTGCTCAGAAAGTGTGATGGCAAATGTACTGATGTTTGTGTGGCTGGATTAGAGTATTTTAGTTTATGACTGTTACTTTACACGTTTGGGCTTCCCAATAAGCAATAAGTCTTTGTTTTGAGTTTGCTATAATTTGTTGTAAATCAGTTTAAGAACTTCATCTAATAAAGTTCAGTTCCCTCTCTAGGTTTATGACAGATGCAGCACGGCGGGAGCACGAGTCTCTGAAGAAGAAAGTTCAGCCAAAGCTGTCACTTTCACTGATGGGCAGCCTTTCACGCAACAGCGTGGCCACGCCCCCTCGCCACAACAGCGGCAACCTGACCCCACCCGTGACTCCGCCCATCACGCCCTCGTCTTCATTCAGGAGCAGCACCCCCACAGGTACTTCTTTAGGAACTCACTGTATGCTTATTATGTTTCCTAGAAAGATGAATTTTGGTAATAACTCCATTAAACCTGCAGTGCTTGTTTGATGTTCTGTTGTAATAGATAATCCAGTAATCACATTGTGAGTCACACTGTTTGTTTTTTTTCATCGCTGCAGTTTCCCATGGCCCTCTCTAGAGCAACATGTGCTCTCTCTCCCACAATTAAATGTTTTAAGCATTTTATTTGTGTGGGTTTGGAACAGAAACTAAATAGTCTCCAAATTGCTTGTATCATACTAGTACTGTGCATTAACCCTTAGACCTTCTTATGCCTTCCAGATTCTTTCTCATAAAACGCAAACGCTTTGCTGGCTGGGCTCAGTACTGTGAGAAAGATAACTGTACCAGTTTTCCTTAAAGCTATTGTGTGTCTGCTGCGGTGGCTGATGGGAAATGCTGTTTTGTTGTTCTAACGGTGTAGTGGTTAATTATCTGAAAGGTTTGATGCGTCATAACATGATCAATTACTAAATTATTATTTGTTCTGTACTCTCAGGCAGCGAGTATGATGAGGAGGAAGCAGAATACGAAGAGTCTGACAGTGACGAGTCGTGGACCACCGAAAGTGCCATTAGCTCTGAATCCATCCTCAGTTCCATGTGCATGAACGGCGGTGATGAGAAACCGTTCGCATGTCCCGTGCCTGGCTGCAAAAAGAGATACAAGGTATAAAATGGCTTAGATATCTACTTTCATTTGTCTGTTCACTGTAGGTTTGTGAATAATTTTTGAAGACTAGAGAAATCCTGACAGCATGGAAAACATGCAACACAAAAATTAAAAACGCTATACCGTACATTATTGTTGCTCCTCTCTGCCCCGCCTTTCTGAAACGCGTCGATTTTTACAAAGCTCATTGTTCTGAAAAGTGAGGTGTGCTCTGATTGGCCAGCTATCCAGTGCGTTGTGATTGGCCAAATACCTCAAGCGTGTGACGGAAATGTAACACCCCTTACCATAATTGGAAACACACAGCGTCTCCACGACATGGCGGCGGCAGCAACAATACTACAGCGAGAATAAAAGTTACGCCTTCTTTCCTTGCATAAACATTTGGGCGTTGTTATGCAAATCTTCCAACACAGTGATGTAGACATGTGGAGGCGTGTTTAAATGAGGCGTTTTAGGAAGGCGTGGATGAGTCTTAACTTTTATAAAGAATATCTCTTTGGGTTTGAGACGTTACTCTTTGCAACCTTACGGATCTTATCTATTCACGAACAGCTTGTAACACTCCAAAGAGAAAGGAAAACTTGAAATCGCATCATATGACCCCTTTCATATATTTTATTTTAAATATACTTTATATTATTTAAAATGTATATTGTTAAGAAGTTTGGGGTCAATAAGGTTTTTTAAATACTTTTGAAAGAAGTCTCTTATGCTCACTTAGGCTGAATTTATTTAATCGCAAATACAGCAAAACAGCAGTATTGCGAAATATTATGAAATTTAAAATAACTGTTGTATATTTTTTATGGCAAAGCTGAATTTTCTGTAGCCATTACTCCATTCTTCAGTGTCACACGATCCTTCAGAAATCATTCTAATATGCTGATTTGACGCTGAGGAGAAATTTCTAATTACTATCAATGCTGAAAACCGTTTTCTTACAGACCCCAAATCTATTAGCACCATTATTTAAAGCTGTTTACTTAGGATTTCATTCACTAAAAAGCAGGTTTACAGCACACCTGTGTATCCATAAACAATAGCAATCACCAGTGGCACAAATATGATCAAACAGTGAATGCTGGGCTCTCACTGTTTAGCAGTCAAAGAGTTTATTAACACTAAGAGCTGTAATGGGACAGGACTGGAAGCTTGACATACATTTGAAAGGCATACATGCAGTCCACTGAAGGACTGTGCGTTTTTATGAGATTTTCCACTGTCATCTGGTTCGGGCTGCTGAGATAAATGATGTGCAGCCTGTGAGAGCCGCATTCAATAAGGGAGAGGAAATGGATGATGACAGCCATGAGGGTGTCTCTGCATGTTCAGATGTACTGTTAGATGTGGCTCTGATTTGGGTTTATTTGGGTTCAGTGGGTGCCTGGTCTCCACTGATGTCAAGCAGCTGATGGTTTTCCTCATTATTTCACACAACACTGGATGTTTTATATGTCTGGAATTATTAAAGCGCATTTTTACAGATCGTTTTGTTTGCCTTCAGATTATTGATAAATATGTTATAATGTAATATGGAATTTAAAACTTGTAATAAGTGAAGTGAATTGTAAAATGATGTTTATTTGCACAGTGTAAGCTGCACCCTCTGTGCCGAACTGAGCTCATCTAGGATCACAAAATGATTTCATTGGCTGAAAGTACTTTTAATATGTACTATTTTTACTTCCTGATTAGAAGGTTGCTTCATGATGTTTGCCATCTGAACTGTTATTACAGACATTAATGTCTACTATAGATAATAAAAGATTTTGTGAATATAGATTTTAAATTTTTTTAGCTTATGTATTACAAGCTAAACACTCAGAACATGCATCAAAACGACGACAGCACTAATATATATATATATAGAGAGAGAGAGAGAGAGAGAGTTATCTAATATTAATAAATTAAATATCCTGGGTGGGCTCAACTCAGACTAAGTTGATGCCATTTTTATTATAAATAAACAAAAAAAATAATAATAATTTCAGTCTATAAAATGAATCTAAATACAGCAGTGAATAGTTTTTGTTTATTTCCTGTGTAGTCAATTATTGTCTAACCTGAACAATGATCCTCTCGTTTCTGCTCTTCTCTGCAGAATGTGAATGGTATTAAATACCACGCCAAGAACGGCCACCGCACTCAGATCCGCGTTCATAAGCCCTTCAAGTGCCGGTGTGGTAAAAGCTACAAAAGCTCTCAAGGGCTTCGACACCACACCATCAACTTCCACCCGCCCGTCTCAAGAATAACTTAAAGAGGTTGCCTGCATTTCCTAAACTGTGGAGATTGACTTTTGTTGCTTTGTCTCATGATTTGAATTGTGATGCTTCCCGCTTTAAGTGGCCTTTCATTTTTAACCAGAAATGGTTCAAATATATATATATATATATATATATATATATTAGTGAATGGTATTAAATACCACGCCAAGAACGGCCACCGCACTCAGATCCGCGTTCATAAGCCCTTCAAGTGCCGGTGTGGTAAAAGCTACAAAAGCTCTCAAGGGCTTCGACACCACACCATCAACTTCCCCCCGCCCGTCTCTGCCGACATCATCCGCAAGATGCAGCAGTAGAGAGTGCCAACATCCCCACACACACATCACATGTATATACACCTCCACATCCATCCGCACCAGCAGCTGTGGCAGTCCATGAACTCTGACTTTGACCCATCTTGTCCTCAGTTTTTTGGAGGACATCCAAAAGATATTTGTCTGGAGGACAGTTTGTCTCTTTCTATTTGACTCTTTCAAGAGTAAGACTCCTTCACCTCCCTTTTCATTCCACTCCTCATGAGGAGGAAACTTTAATATTTTTATATTCCTCTTCCTCAAGGAAGACTCCCGAATCCCTGTATCATTCCGTACCTCCATGCGGAGGATTCGATTCAACCATCTATCAAAACACTACATTTTGAATTGCATGCTTTAATTCTGTTCTTTTTTTTATTATTATTTCCTTTGCTTATTTGTATCTTATTAGAGTTCACCGTTTTGTATTTTTGCACATTTGCTTCATCTTTTTATTTTCCTGGTCTTTATTTTTTGATGCTAGGTGCTTATTGTAAGACTGACGGTATGTTTGGAAAGGTGAGAATCGTGACTAGATAACCAGCCTCGCGTGAGTGAACGTGAGTCTCTGTGCGAGAAAAACAAAAGATAGGAAAGGCTTGAATAGTCTGAATGTTTATCTGTATAAGCAACATCCATAGCTACAGACTGTGTATATAACTATATATTCTAGAAGTTTCATAGTCAGATTTAAATTCTATACTTTATTTCTAAGTTTTATTTTGTATATTTTCAACCGAACTTCGGAGATGACAATATCGATTGATTATGTATGTGCAGTTTTAAGTCGTGCAAAAAAGGTTTGAAAAGGTTTGCGTTATAGCACCAAATGACTCTCAGGTGACAAATCGCCAGCATTTCAAAACCATAATCCTGATCTGATAGTATTTTAGAGTAGGCTGTTACACTCTTCCCAGGACCGTTCTAGAACTCCACAGCGATCTGGAGAAGAACCTAAAGCACTTTGTAGTGACCAGCTGCCAACCTGTTTAGGACATTTTGTATTGCCAACGAGTTGCAGAATGTTTTCTGCAAGTCAGCTGCGAAATTCTAAGGACTAATATGGCGCTTTGGAGGTCTCTTTCTGAGGTTATCCTTTTTTTTTTTTCTATCTTAGGGAATTCATTCTTTCGCTATACCTCCAGTGTGCTTGTTAGATGTGAGATTATTGAAATTGGTTGCCTTGAATTGTGGTATACCACAGCAGTATATGTGTAGCCAAGTGATTCGGATTGTGTATTCATCCGGATTCTGGCTCGTCTCTGGTGAATCCGTGGGACGTTTATACCCCTAACCTGTCACTGGGATGATATAGAGTCACAACCCAAAGATATTCAAGTGTGGACTCATACCTTGAATCAGAAAGGTACTTGATTTGATTTGCTTTTGGACTTGTGGGTGGTATAAAAGAAGAGTCTCTAGATCCTCCAGAGATGCCGGCCAGATCAGGGCCTGCCAATCACTCATTATGACACATCACTGCATGGACGTTGATGTTGTTGGAATTGCAGTATCGGTTTAGATGCAACATTGTAACAGTATTACACTGCCAGTACAGAGGGAAGTATTTGATATATTGTGTACTTAATGTATTGTCTCGATGTGAGTGCTTTAAATTATATTTTCTTATGTTTCTGGACAACAATGTTCCTACATGTAATGAAGTCAGACACCAGGGGTTGTTTTGGAACTGGTGACATTTTCTGCAACAAAACTTAAAAAGAAAAAAAAATGCTGCTTCATAAATGTAAACCTGGTTACATTTTAAATATTAAAATGGCCTCTGATGTGTTTTTAAAAAAAAATGCCTTTTTTAAAAAAATTTTATTTCTTCCATCCAGGAATGTGGATTCATGGTCAATTTTAGTATAAAGATAAGAGAAATATATATATATATATATACACACATATATATCCACCATTTAATTTTTTTTTTTTTTTTAATATTTTTGTTATTGTTTATTTATTATATTATTTGTGACGCTGAACCACAAAACCAGTCATAAGTAGCATGGGTATATTAGTAGCAATAGCCAACAATTCATTGTATGGGTCAAAATGATAGCTTTTCCTTTTATGCCAAAAATCTTTAGGATATTAAGTAAAAATCATGTTCCATGAAGTTTGATATTTTGTCAATTTCCTACCATAAATATATCAAAACTTAATTTTTGATTAGTAATATGCATTGCTAAGAACTTCATTTGGACAACTTTAAAGGCGATTTTCTCAATATTTGGATTTTTTTTTACACCCTCAGATTCCAGATTTTCAAATAGTTATATCTCTGCCAAATATTGTCCTATCCTAACAAACCATACATCAATGGACAGCTTATTTATTCAGCTTTATTCAGCAAAAACTTGACCCTTATGACTGGTTTTGTGGTCCATGGTCACATATTGTTTTTAGTAATAGATATATAGTAAAAGTTCTGGTGTTAAAACTTTATAAAAACTTAAATTCATAAACAATAGTTATGTAAAATTGTAGTATGTTCCTTTAAGACTTTCTAATAATAATAATTACGGATAATCCTCAAAATTAAGCCTTACCATGTGGTTTTGGTAAGTAAAGGTAAATGTTTTCAATTTGAACAACTCCACATGACCAGTATGACCAGCATAAATATTGCTTGTCAAATCTTTATTGGTTTAGATCAAGTATACAAGACACACTCACACAGTAAGAGACCAAAAGTATTTAACTAAGGAAATGGAACAAAAATAAGAGATCTAGGTTTGTGATTTCAGTGCACAGGAAACATGAGCATACAACTCAATTGAAATAAGTGATTTAAATAGATAAAGGAAAAAACACTAACTCAAATAACTTGATTATCAAGGTTTATCTTTAAAAGCTTATTCTAAAATGATTTTATAATATAGAATCACCCTCTTAGCTGGTCACACACATGCCCTGCCAGAAAAAGCTGTGCTCTGCCTGCACAGAGTATAGTAGGCAATACCTGACTTAAACTATGGAACCTGGGGAGGGTTCTCAACAGAGTGCTTTAATATGACTTTTGCTCAGTGTTCTTAAAGTATTCTTAACCACCTGCAATGCTAACTTTGATATGAGAAGCGTTAAAGTGAGTTAGAATAAACAGTCCTATTGACAGAAGTAATCCCCAACTATAATGGACTTAAATAAAGACCCTAAAACATCACCCAAAATCCATCTTTCAGTCATTTGGAATTCATTAACAGTATCCAGACTTTACCTTGATTGCGTTAAAGAAAAGATCAGTTCTCTACAGATGAATGCTCAAAGCTAAACATGCTGTTTAAAGTGGCTGTTAACTGTAACACAAATGAGCAGAATGTGAAGTGGAGGCATGAACTCTTTTTCTCGACTAGAAGTTGAGCACGTTACTGTCGAAGTGGGTGAGGACGTGCTTCTCGAAGAGCTGCTGGTCGCAGTCGAGAGGGAACTGTTCGCTGCACATGGGGCAGATCTTCCAGTGGCTCTCCACGTGCTCCTCAAACTTGGACTGGTCGTAATGAGGAGGGAAGATCACTTCACACAGCGGACATCGCTTCTGCTCCCCACTGCGAGATGGAGAAATTAAACTGGGTGAGAAAAGGCTAATAAAAACACCAAAATAAAGGCTGAATGAGGAAAACAGAGTGTGGTAAGGTGTGTTTGTGTGTGAATGAGCTGGTGCTGGAACAACAGGAGAGTAAACGGCAGTAAAACAGCATCTGTGTGAAGGCGATGTGGGTGGGCCGTTGAGCTAATGCACAAAGTCACACCACAACGAAGCTCAACCACATGATAGGTAACAGCCGTGAGTTTGGTGTTTGTGTGCGTTCTTACCTGGGTTCAAAGCAGAATGGCATCTGTCCATCATTGAGGAACTCTGCAGGGTCAGCGGCTGTAGGCTGATCATTGGTTTGCTGGGGGAGAGAAGAAAAAAACCTCTATTAGGCCGTTAACTGTTAGTGATTAATATCGCAGGAAATCTTGTTGGTGCAGCAATATATGACAGCTCTAAACATATGCAATTATGTAGGCGAAAGTCGTAGCATATTGATTAATGATCTGGGGTGCGTTTCCCAAAAGCGTCATTAGCTGTTGTTCTGTTGTTACCTACATAGTTCAAAAATTCACAATTTCCAGAAAACATGGTTTTAATGAACTGCTTGGGTGCAGTACATTCTATAGCTTTCATACTATTTATATATACACATTTCAATCTACACAGTATGGCATGCATGTCAACAATCAGTGGCAGTTTTGAAAAGTGCGCATACGCGTAAAAGCATAAGGCAACCACGGTGTATGGAATAAGAGGGAACCCGCAATGAATCGTATTTACATATTTATGTACTTAAGATATGGTATACTTGAAGACTGGTATACTTGAAGCCTGCTAAATTGGACCAACTAATTTTGTACTTAATACACTTTAATTGTGCAGAAGTAGGGCTGAAGTCCAACAAAGATATACTGAAGTATATCTGACTGTGCTAAAGTGGAACTATTGCAAGTATACTTCAGGTACACTTTAAATATCTTGCATTTAAGGACCGATGTTATTCAAAGATCACACAATACTCATTATTAGTGACATTAAATACATTTTAGGCTTAATATTAAGAAATGTGCACTGTGCTCAAGTAATACTCCAAATAAAGTTGAAGTATAATTTATTTATTTGTTTAATTATTATATCA